AGCTAAACTCGTGGTGTAAGCAAGTTTAAAGCTTTTTAAAACAGCAGTACTAATTTGAATCCAAACATCAGAATAAGGCCACAAAACCGGTACTAAATGACAATATACATTCTCAAAGCGAAAATTTTCAAAAACGTATATGTACTATATATATATAAATCGAAAAGACGCGCAGTATAACAACTAACTTCCTTATGCCAATTTTAAAAATTACAAATATTTTAAACCTGATGATGCTTACGGAAGTAGTGCAGCAGCGTGTGTAACAACAGAAAAACCAAGCTGCAAAGCTGCATCGATGAGTAAAGTTTGTGTTATAGACATCCACAACGACAAAAAAATTAACAACATTAAAATAAATTAGATTTTAACGTATTAAAGGGTTTCGAACTTCTACCCGGCGCCGTAAAGTTACACCATTACTTCGTGTTAAAATTTTCTGTGGCGATGGGACATTACGTGGTAGAGGAGACTTTTTTTTGCGTACCTCATCTAATGAACCTCCGAAGCCGTTTGCATATGTTAAATCGAATTCGTCATCTTCTTCAACTACAGGTTCCTCCATAGCCTCTTCCTGGGCCTTCATCCACTCATCTTTCTTCGACGCCAATTTTGCCTGATAATAAATTTAGTACGTAAAAAACAGAAAAACTGCTATTTACACTCACAAGTTTGTGAAATGCTCGATTCAATATAGGTTAAATTCCAAAAAGAGAAAAAAATTCCCTGAATTCCTGTTGTAGATAAAACAAACCTCAGCCTCCTTGACTTCCTCGTCAAGATCTGGTTTATATTCTGCCTCTAAGAAATTAACCGCATAACGCTCAATTGGTTTCAACTGAAAAAATCACTATGTAATGACCCAAAGAACTTGAACGCAAAAAGTATGAAACACATTTATAGTTAACTCTATTACATGGTCTATAATTTCGAAATATTTCGAGTTCGATTTCTCAATTAAGTTGTCATTTGCTGCCTGCTGACTCTCCTCAAACTCAGCAAGTTCAGCCTTTGCCTCAGCATGAGCACGCCGAGCAGCTGCAACATCCTGCACGTCTTCGAGTGTTGCCATAGCCTTGAAATATTCTAACTAATCAACTTCAAACTGAAATAACACAAAAAAATAAAGAAACACTTTCGGAAAAAATGAGAACCTTTTCGATTTCTGACGAATCTTTCACACTTATCGGAGCAACAACATCCGCTTCACCTTCAAAAAGATCTCTAACATTATCACCCTTGAAGAAATCCGGAGTGAAGCCTGCCTCGTCAATTGCCAATTCACCCAAGCGTCTTTTTTGCATAGCTTTTCGAAGAATATTTTCTTCAATTGTCCTTTCGCTGACTAAGCGATAAATAGTCACATTCCTCGTCTGGCCTATCTACAAAAAGAAGGAAGTAAAATTTATACATACGATCATGAATAATAAAAATCACCAGAAAACATGTAAAAGCCGATTACTCTGTGACAGCGGTCCTGAGCTTGAGCATCCATTGTTGGATTCCAATCGGAATCGTAAAAGATAACGGTGTCAGCTCCTGTCAGATTCACACCAATCCCGCCAGAACGTGTAGATAAAATGAAGCAAAAAATTTTAGGGTCGGCATTGAACCTCTCCATCATTGCCTACAAAATACTCATTAAATAAGATTCACCATAAAACCTTCAAAAAAATTATTCTTGTTATATGCTGAAGTACAAATAGAAGCCCTATGACACAGTGCTACAGAAAATCAGCAGGCACCTGTCTTTGTTCAATGCCAGTGGCACCATCGAGGCGAAAATACTGATACCCATGAAAAGAAAGAAATGCTTGAAGAACATCCAACATACGAGACATCTGAGTAAAGATTAAGCAACGATGTTTGTACAAATAAAGCTCACGTAAAAGACAACTCAGCACTTGCAGTTTTCCTAAAAAAAAAAAGACACAAGAAGAGCAATAGGACACGTCCTTCAAATTGAAAAAAAATGGAAACGGCTTCCGAAACCACTTACCGCAGTCATATTCAATTAAGCGCAACTCAGGAAACATGAGGTGCTGAGCAACCATAACAGATGCTGCTAATGGATGAAAACTACCAAATAACTTCCTTTCATAACAAGCCAGCTCAGTTTCCAAAAAACGAGAGTAGGCTGAGCGGCCTGAACTTGAAGCACCAACCACGGGAGCGCTCGCAACTGCAGGGTGTACATAGATAGTAAACCTGAAACGCCAACAAACAGCCTTACAAATAGAAATCAAATACGCAGCATGCAGTCGCCAAAGGCAAACCCTAAAATCCTTAACCAATACCTCCTCACAATGTAATCAATTTCCTCATTCAGTCGACTCTGCAAGAATGCCAGGTCTTCCAAAGATATCGTGAAGCTGGAAGACGAAATGTCTTTGACACCTAAAAAACAAACTGACAGTGTTCAACTTCACAAAGCAAAATAGGTAAGCAACAAACATAAAGACTATCTAAAGGAACATCACTGTCAACTTACCAGCATCACTTTTTGATACTTTCCGCTTCTTCTTTACTTCTCTCAAAAGGACAGAGAGCAACTCGTCCGACACCAAAGGAGTATGACGAGCGAAAGGCGACCTAAGGCGTTCTTCGCAAAGACAAGCAGTGTATTGAATACGCTCCTCCTGCCTCTTTTTTAAAGCGTCCCTTGTTTGTGGCTACAAAAAATGTCCCAAATACATAACAAAAGAATCCAACACCAATCATTAAGCTTAAAAATTACCAATAACAATTCAGCATATGGTTGTCTATCAACTCTAGTAGCGATTCTTCGACGTTTCGGCAAGGGAGAAGACGGTAAGTAGGGTAATATGCCATTTGCAAGTGAAACGTTAGTTGAAGGGGAAGAGACAGGTAGGCTAGTCCTAAGAGGTTGGACTGCAGCTGTAGCGCGAACAGGGGCAGCATTAATCGGCTGCAAATGATAAGACCGAGAAATAACATTTACAAAGAAAAATTATTTCATTTGCTTTAGTACTTAACATTTACGCAATCATAAGTGTCCAAAAAACAATGCATATACCTCAATATATTCAGTAACAAACCGACTTTCTTACTAAAGGGTGCAGGAAAATACCTGAAATGGAATTGTAGCACCAACTGGTAAACGTGGAACATTAGACGACAACCCGTTATTATTTGGTTTGATATCTTGTCTACATGACGAAGCTGGTCGACGACGATTTCCAAAAATGGTAGCCGTCCTCAACGCCGGCTACAGAAAAAATTAAAATAGAAATAGAAGGAAGCCATTGGAAAATGACAGAGTGAAAGATCATAAGACTGTGAAAGTTCTTCAAGAAACAAGTAGAGATTAGGCCTAATAAGTAAAGCTGCAATATTAAGAAATAACAGAGAGGCAAACACGTAAAAAGCAGCATAAATAAACCAACATGTAATGTTACAACTCGTCCAGCACGAGTAACTGTTGAAGCGGCATTCAACGTTTGTGGTTTCGGTTTCAAAGAATCCTCCTTTGGATCCGATTGCCCAGAAGTCTCAGGTTCCGAAACCACTTCTTTTTCACTCGTACAACCAGTTGTCTGATTACCAGAAGCTTCTGCATATGCAATAACAGGTTCCGCTTTCGGCGTTACCGGATGTGATATACAAGGGCTGTGAATGTTCGGCAGAACGCTAACTGCCGGTGGTATTCCTGTGCCGCGCACGTCCCGAACATCACACTCCTTTATAGTCTTTTCACCAGAACTAGTAGTGACCTAAAAATTCAACGTAACAGCTACACCGACGACAATATTCCAACACAAAGCCAAAAAGTATAAAACTCACCAGCTGGTAAAAACGCGGAGTACCGTTCACAAATGAAAGATAGAGATCACCCTCTGAAAAGTTATAGATTAAGGTCTGCAACGGGCGAACATACACATTAAAAGTAGTAATCAACTTTTTCAAAAAAGACGACTACAGGAATTGCACCTGACGGAAGGCTGGCTGGATCAAGATTTACTCTGATTTCTTCGTTGTGAACTATGGGAGTTTTCTTCTAAAAAGGAAGCAGATGTTGGAACAATAAGGAACTAAATTAAAGAGGAACTGTAGCAGCTGCTTTCGTAAAAGTTCAAATAAAACCTAAATACCAGTGGAAAAACGACAAAAAATCATTGCCACAAAGTTACGATGAAGTCAAATAAACGATTTTTGAAGGAGGATCTTACCGGAGGAGAGCGAACAAATTTGAAACCATCAACTTTGGGTAGCAGTGGTGAGTCAGCATACAAAAGAACTTCATCCAAATAATTTTTTGTAACAGTCAAATTTGCACTTTCACTACGCGCAAAGGATGAGCCAACCATACAGGAAGTTAGGCGCAGAAAGTACGGTACTCGAGGAGCTGTGTCATCTTCGGAAAAACTGAAACATTAGAAAAGAACTGTACTTACCATTACACTTTTAAAATGAACTTCTTAAATGTTAATACATATAACAAACCTTCTATAGACACTGAACAGTTGAGCAGGGTACGCAATGTTTAACGGCTGCATCACAAATGGGGAATTGATTGGACGGGGCTCAAACAAGTTCGGATGGTTACAGCATTTTCGCAATTGCATTACTATATTTAAAACAGACATGACGCTCCCGGACCGTAACTTTTCCCTAGTCCTTCAATCAAACAAAATAAAAGTGGCAGAAAGAAACAAAACTGAGTGAACAATTATCACCGAAACAAACGACAAAAAGAAAAAAATAATAATAAAGTAATAATAATAAAACATACGTCCGCTGAGCCATGAAGTCATCATAAAGATATCTCTGCCTTTTTGACAAAGGGCATTTAATCACTTTTTCAATTTTTTCAGGTAACTGTTTCTCTACATCCGCTTTAAGTCGTCGCAGTATAAACGGTCTTAAAACCTTGAAAAAAAACGTCTGTAAGGCATCGTAACAAAAAAACTACATAGAAACAAGAAAATTATGTGGAAGTATAAAACTTAGTTTGAAGGTTTTTCCTCATCTTTCACCTAACTGCAAAATGGTTTTGTTTAAAAAAAAATCGTGGAGATACTTTATGTAGCCTTTGCACCAGATCACTGTTCCATTTCACGTTCCCTTCCATCATATCTGTAAGTGGATTACTAAACCAATCCTTAAAATCGTTGTGTGAAGCAAATATGGCCGGCATCAAAAAATGCATCAACGACCACAATTCCATCAGTGAATTTTGTAACGGAGTTCCAGTCAGTAATAACCTCCGTCGAGCTCGAACATTTAAGAGAGTCTGCCATCTTTGGCTCTTAAAGTTTTTGATGTTTTGTGCCTAAAGTGATACAACTTTTAGTGCGCAAAAACTTTTGTAGGAAAATGCATAAACTATCAAATACAGAAATCTTGAACAGATTCAAAATAAATGTAGTAAAGACTACGCCAACAAAAACGCTTCATACTGCATACCTCATCCAGTATAAAATACTGCCAGCTTCTCTGCTTGAAAGCTCGAATATCCTGTGTTATTATTTTATACGAAGTCACGCAAACATGAAAAGTATTTGGTTTCAACCAGCCCTTAAAGTACACAAATATTAATTTCTAATTTGCAAAAAAAAAAAAAAAAAAAAAAAAAAAAAAAA